CATGTGTCTTAGGCAAAATTACTCTTGTATAAGGTTTAGTGGGTTGGTGGATAGAACATCAGCCTTGCACACTCTTTTGTCATGCCCTGACGCCGGTTCGGGCCCCTGTGGCAGCGGTCGTTTTTCCTCTTCTTTTTAGCTACACTTCTTGCTAGTATTATGTTTTTAACCCTTTACTGGTAATCTGTTAAAAAAAATCGGGACTTGATTTTACTTACTGTGTTTTACAAAAAAGCGTATCTAATTGAATTAAATTTACTGCAAGCAGATGCCTCGTCCAATCACTTGCTATTTTATTAAAGGGCTTGTTCACTGAAAAACTCTCGTTTGACTGGATTTTGTGTTTGAAAACTGCTGGAGGCTGAATTTGGTCGTGAGAGGGCTCAATAAGCTGTCAATAAGCTATATATAAAATAGCACAGGCCTGAATGTGCTCCACCATGTTGTGGAGTTGCCTATGCTAATGGTTAGCATCTGCTAGCAGAGGCATGCTTTTCACTCTCCTCCACGTGGGCGGTTGCAAGCCAAGGTGGGCGAGGCCATGGGTGCTTAACTTTTACTTTGATGTAGAAGAAACAGGCTTTGGTAATCTGATTGTTTTCCAGTCTATTTCCTGAAGAAAATGCTCACATTCAGCACGCATTTGCAATCTGAGGGTGATTGATCATATTTAACCCTTAGAGGTCCCTCAAGAATTTTTTTGTGTGAGGGTTCCCAGTGTAGCTTTTTTTAAGGAACCTCCAAGGGTTACAAAAAAAAAAAGAACAAGACTTAGGTGGTTTCTCAGTGAATATGGTCTTTGAAAGAAAAATGCATCAAGAAAATGTAAAGTGTCATTTTTGAGTCATTTTGCACTGCAGACCGATGTACCAGTTGTGTTGTGTGAGTGGGTGGCGTCCGCTCTCTCAGGGAACCACTGGGATTTTTTGCTTAGATATTGCACTTCCAGAAAGAAAGCTCTCATTCTGAAATGCATTTGTAAGCAAGCAACTGAAGAGAAAGTCCAGACCCCCAGTCCCTGCACATTCCCCAGACCTTTTCCAGTTTCTTGTGTCAAAACAGCTTCGATAAAATGAGGTTTGGAATCGGAGTGATAAAGCTGGAAGCACACATGATCCTGATTTCACTTCGTGTGGGAATTCTTGTTAAGTCAGTCTTTTGAATACCTCAGAATTCTGCATTGTTTACACTGTAATATTGATTTTCTCTTGTGAGTTACTGCCTCTTTTGGAACTAAATGTGCGTTCTTGATTGGATTTGAACAATCCATGAGAAAGAAACTGGCCTCATGAGAACACTGCTGAACCTTGCTGTCACACACTGACTAAATGAGTCATCAGGATAAAGAGGAGTCGGATAACATGCTCATTCTTTTCAGGAGAGCATGTTTCAATTTGTTTGCCAATGATGCTTCAATAAATTGAACTAATAGTTTTGTGCTTCCTTCAGTTTAAAAGGACAAATTCCCACAAGACTCATTCACAGCTCATCCTAAAGACATTAAACACAAATGAGAGGCTGGTCAGGGAGTCCCACGGTGCTCTTTCACAAAACGACCACTGACTGATACTTTACCCCCTCCTGACATCCCACAAGCCCAAACACACCCCTCCGCTCCACAGTCCGCCAGCCTGCCCTCACCCCTCTCCGTCCTCCCTTTCAAACTCTTTTGTGCCCTCCTTTTTCAGTCATACTCGTATCACCCAGAACAAATGATCCCCGTATTTTCTTCTTTCTCCTCCTCCTCTCCCCCACCCTCCTTTCTCCCAGTTCTCCCTGTCTCCTACTCTCTCCTTCGTTCCCTCCTTCATTCGGTGCCGATGAAAGGCAGGCATTGAGCCGGCAGTGGCATTCCAAAACCTCAGGCCTCGGCTCCAGCGTGTCTGGCTATTCAACACTGCTGGGAGCCATTAGTTTAAGTAAAGCCTGACCCGCCTACTCACCCACGGAAAACCGTCAGATCTCCTATTACACTCTACATATGGAAGGAAGGCTCACGGCTGCTCTTTGGGTGCAACAAGTGTGTTTTTATAAGTAAAACCAACAAGAAGACGAGACAACATGTGAAATGGGAAAAGCAGAGCCCCTCCATGGCTGAGAGGGAGAAAGTGTTGGTGCGTTGGTATGAGAAAGTGGCTGCATGTGTGCTTAAAATTTATGAGTGGTGGGTCACACGCTCTCTTGGCTGCATCTTCTCTAACTTTCCACACGTCAAAGCCAAGGGCTCAGACGCCAAACCCCTCTCACCAAGAACACCGCTTAATCGATTGTCAACAACCACGCACTTTTCAAAATCTCTGCAGTCGCTCCCTCGTTTAACTCATGTACCAGATACAGGAAATCCCTCCATTCACGGTGCTCACAGCTTAATCGTTTGAGTGCTGCAGTTTTGCTAATTGGAAAATGATACTGTGAACCAGAGCTTGATCTGTGTTGCCAGCTTCGCCCAATTGTCAGCACATAAACATAAATAGTTCTCGTAAACAGCTCCATGTTTGGGAGACGTTCTGTTTAAACGGTGTGTATTCACTAAGCCCACACGCAGATATCATACACACACTAATTATGCATTTCAGGACAAGATGTTTAAGTCACAGTGGTGTTCTCTGCATAATTTCGTTTATTTGTTCATTTATAAAGCACTTTCTCGATACCATTCAAGGTACAAGCTAAGTGCAAAACACAACAAAGCAACAACAACATAAAACGTAAAAGTGAAGACCAAAATAAGTGGTCAGATCGTAGCGAAAACCTAACCATTTTTACAAAAGATGATGTGATGGCGGTATAAAGGGGGTATGAGGGCGGTCTCTGTGCTGTCACGGACTTCAGTTTATCTTGGACATAAGTTGGTTTTTATTGCGATCAAAGCCGCGCTCATTAAGGATTTTTTGACAAGCTGCTCCTACAGGTGGCTGTCTTCCACAGTCCCTGTGAATGGTTAGGTGATCTGAGCTCCAGCTATAACGGAGAGAAGCTCTGGGAGCTCCATATTGCTCCAGTTTACCGTACTGAATCACGTGCTGTTTATAAAAGCGAAGCTTGCGGCCCGTGTTTACTTTAATTTTTAATATAGTTTCCTACCAGATCTCGATAGTAACTCCTCATGTGACCCTTCTTGCACCAAGGCATAATATGCATGCACAAGTCCGGCATTGCGGCAATACTACTACCAAGAGTGGCAGCCAACATGCCGCAAAATTCCAAGATTGCCATGGCGAAGCGATCCGTGCTGCCATGGCGAACGACACGCCGTGGTGGCACTATTACACTGACTTGCTGGATTGGGTGTGTCTTCCTAAAAGGGCTAAAATAAAAACTGCTAGCCTAGGAATCTAGACCATCAGTTTGCCGAAGCAAAAGGATGGTGTAGCAACACACCATTAGAACCTCAGCAGCCCCGGCCATCTGGTGCCAGGCCAACAACATCAGTTTGGTTTGTGTCATCTGCAATGATGCAGACTGCCACGTTCAGTGAAATCCATAGTGGGTCATCAGCCTAGTAAACTAGGCTCAATGGAAACAATGAAAACATGTGACATCCTTGTACCTGGATTAGTTTCACCGTTTTCATGTAAGTTTTCAGTGCAATGGACATCAAATTTTATCCACGCTGAAAAACACACTGTGAGAGTAAACAGAGAATTGCCTGCTACTGTCAAATCCATCATCTTGAGCTGCTTTGGTTAAACACACATTTCAAGTTGAGTAAGAAAAACTAATCTTTCTTTGACAGGCAGGTCATGACAGCACCACCTACGATTAAATGCTACGTTACTCTGCATTTTCCTTTGCTTGATGTGAAAAGGTTCCTGCTTCACGCGGCTGATTCTATACAAACTGTCCATCCTCCCCGAGGCTGCAGGAGCAGCTGTGTTGTTCTCCACCCTGGCGATGGCCACACCTGTGATCTGCAGGTGGTTCATTTGGCTGCAGAGCTGAAAACACCTGGCCCGGCAGAGATAGAGCCTCCAGGCTGTGTGTGTGTGTGTAGGGGTTAGAGGTTTGGGGATTTCTGAAAGCTCAATTAAAGCTGAGGGAAGATAACGGCTGGCTTTCCTTTCACACACCCACACACTCTTTCAGGGGCATGTTGTGGCATTACTCAAAGTTATGTGTGAACTTGAAAGGGTCACGTGGCACAGCACAAAGGTTTATGTCTGTAAGAAAAAAGGTGGTGGCATGAGCAAGTATTAAGTTTAACTTGTTCTTGTACTTATAAAGCTCCTTCCTGCTTTTGCAACTGCTCCTGCTAAACGTTCGAACGAACAACAAAGGTCTGCTTTTTTGTAGCTTTGCATACTCGCTGCCGATGTGACATCTTAATACAGTGCTCCGCTTGGACAAACAATAAAAGACAACAAGCTGAGACACCAGCTGGGAACAAGACACATAAACAAATGCACCTAGAACATCACCCATGCTGTGAGCAAGAGCAGACCGTGTGCAGTGCAAGTTTGGCCCTCTGACGACAACAAAGCCCCTGCAGGAGTTACATCAGACAACGGACAGATGAGGTAAACTTGACAAGAGTCATAAAACTCATGAAGTGACATGAGGGAGAGGAGACATTCAAGCTTTGGCATGAGCTTTACACTCATACGTGTCAAAGCCAGACAAAGGCTGCACATCATCTTTATTCAGTTATCTGTCATGATTGGAAAAGCGCGGACTCTGCAAGTCGCTTTGCTGGATGTCTTTGCTGCATATGTTAACACTAATAATTCTGTCAAATCTGGTTGTATACAGCTGATACATAACGAGATGAGGGATGCATTACTTTCATTTTAAAGAGACAGTGTGTCGTTTTTACCTTTACTTTCTGGAAATACTCATTAAAATGTTGTTGAAAATGAAAAAAAAGTGTTATATTGCCAAAGAAAATGTAAAATAAAAGCAAAATATCAAGTGATAAATGCAGACTCTTAACAGCTCTGATTTTAAAGAAATCGGGCAAAATTAAAAATATTTTTACTGAACAAATAACAAGTATACAACAATTTGAATAAACAAATAGTTTTATTTACATAAGAACTTACAAAATGTACAGAAGAATTTCACATTTATACAAACAGAAAAGACTACTCTGTAAATACATCTAAAATGTTCACAAATAAGAACTGCTGTGCTGATGTTGGTTTTATGTAGTTTCACATTCTTTAAAAAAACTAAGGATGTTAACAAATTACAGTTATGAAGAAAACATTTAGGCGGTAAGAAACGTGAGTTCAAGAACAAAACTGCAAAATTCTTGTGAATGAACAGGATCGAAAGAGATGCAATACATTTTGGTCGAGTGGTGTTGCCGTAGTTTGATGTCACCTGCAGGCGCAGGACCCCAAGCAGATCCAGAAACAACAGCACCAGAAAACTTGCATCGGCATTGCATTTTTTCTCTTGCATGCTTTCTGCTCCACAGGTAACAACATTTACCGTAATGTTTTTTTTGAACTAGCGACAATACGGGCGATATGGTGTGAAACTACTCTGAAAAGTATGTACTGCCCCCTAGCGCCAGGAATCTACACACTGCCACTTTAAGAATCTAGCAAAAGAAAGAACTGAAGTACGAGAAAGATGCAATTTTTTTAAAAGGTCTCACATTGGCTACATCTCGTCTGACACAGCTCTGAGACTTCTCACCAGTCTTCAATAATAACTCACACACAGCTGGGAGTCAGCTTTCCTCTGCTCCATGACAGGCCAGCTGCAGTCGGACTCAAGCATGGCGGCCAAGACAGATGTGCAGGGGTGGGAAAGGGAAAAGGGGCAAATAAAATGAGGCAAACAAGGACTAGGAACACAAACATTGGGGGTGGGAATATTGAAACAAAGAGGGGAAAAAATGGTTACGGGGAGACAGAAACTTGAGACCGAAACAGGAGGTGAGAAAGAAGCACTGCTGTAACCCTGGAAGGCGTGGAGAAAAGGGTAACCATTGCTAACTCCTCTTTGTCTGGGCCAAGTGGGGGACGGGGGTAAGGAGTGAAAGGCATGAGAAAAGAAAATAGAGGGACGGGTGTTCAAAAAGCACACTGTGGCGATAAGTTTCTTTCACAAGTTCTTTTATTTTTAAAATGTTCACTTAAATTTTATTAGCCAACAAATGCCTGCACACAGCCTTCAGACCCGCCTCCGAACGGCCCCACAAAGGATACATGCTCTTTTTTTCTCGCTGCACAATTGATCTAAATAAAACACTTTTAACAGATAAATACACAAAAGAAGTATTAATTCCTCTTGACTGAATGCTTCAAAAGCTACATAACAAATATGCAAAACCACTCCAAAATCCCGCAGGCCGCCTTTTTGGAATAGTCAAATGTGTCAAAGCAATGTTTACGCCACTGTGTGACACCTGAATGCCGAGGTCTTGGTGGCAGCTGCAGGATAACAAAATGACAGTGTTAACAACTCTTCAGGAGAAAAAACACAGCTGGGCTGTTGTTGAGGAGGCAAGAGGAGTGACATTTTTGTTGAGTATCGCCCGTCTCCTGGATGACTGCTGTTTCTGAGGTCTGCAGTCAGGCGATTCTCTGTGTAGGATCACATCTGGATCTCATCCACCCAGCCGCTCTGCGCAGTGCCGCACAACAACAAGAAACAGCTGTTCAGGACTGGCTTCAATTAGCATCACATTTTCCCTGACAGTTAATCCCCTTCCACTCTCATTCTCTCACTGTTCGATTCCTTTAACTGCTCACTCATCCCCCCATTTCCCTTTGTTTCAGGTTTCCACAGCGTCTGACATGAAAGATAGGGAAACACGGTATGCTAAATTGGAAACAGGCTCCTTAGACAGAAAGTCTTACGAAACGTGCAACATGACAGACCCTGTCAGGATAATAGACTGATGATGCTGTTTAGGATTCTGCAGAAAGTGGATCATATAATAGACTGCAGTGATTGGATAAGTGCATTTAAATTTCCTGTCAAATGTGTGGTACATCTAAAAATATGTCACCACGTTGAATGGATTTATTTCATTTTCTTCATGAAATGATTTTGTATTTGAAAGTGTGATTATGCATCATAGGGTAATGAACTGAATGTAATGTCAGGTGAAACTTTTGTTCCAGGAGGTGTTGCGCCGGGCCTTTTTTTCGGTGGACTTTTCTCTTCAGACCACAGACATCGGCCCAATCCCAATACCCGCATTTCCAAACTTGTGCTCTTCCATTGCACAATCCCGGCCAGGGGTGCGAGTGTGTAGGGGTAGGGTGCTTCGTTTGCACCCTTGATCCGCACTCAAAGTCTGCATCGATGTGGACTTGGGCGAAGAGTATTAACCACAATCTATTGTTGTGGGAGAAAAATATGTATTTTCAAATGAAAGTAGTTCATTTTAGGATGATTAGTTGATGCTCTGAATGTTTTAGAGCAAGCAGCAATGAATGTAAATTTATTTCAAATAATTGTTTGGTTGTTCATTTGAAAGTTGTTAATAAAGGTTAGTTGCACAGTGACCAGCATCCCTGCATGCATTACAGTCGAAGATGCAACTAGGTGCACATGCCCCGTGGACTGCTGCTGCCAATTGATGCTGGCATAGCAGCCGGTCGCCATCTTGGATGGGTCTCCATTTGCCTCCAGCGCATTTATTTCTACTGAGGAAGGTGCTGTCTTCATGTATTTATCAGCCTTTGAATCTTTTCTTATGCTCTACCTACCGCACTGTAACTTCTTACCCTTTAACTTAGTCTTTTTTTCTGATTCTTAAATCTGAAATTAATATTTGTATCAAAATGTATTTGTGTATTTTAATTGTGCTGTCACTTTATTTTAGTGTTCGGGCTATTCTCGCTGATGGAAAGCACATTGAATTTCTTCTGTGAATCAAATGTGCTGTACAATAAAGCTGTTGTGATCTGTTTTCAATAAGATGCCCGTTTTTGCAACTGTACGCTGCACAAAAACGAGCATAGTTGTCCACTCTGCATTGACTCCAGTTGGTTTTGGAGAGTGAGGAACCCACCCAATATGACGGCGATGCTGTTACACTTTCTAGTGCCCAATGGGGAGTCTACGTATTCATGTCTATTTATCAGATGAGATCTGGATATAGAAAGGAACACTCTGGAAGTCATTGCTCTCCCTCCTATATTGTCTTCATCACTGTTATATTAGCCTATAACAAATGCATTGTCAAAGAAGCTGTTCAAAATCCTTAAAAATGTGTTTTCACTGCTCAGGCTCGTTATCATTTGATACGGCACGTGCAATTTATCTTTATATTTGGTCAAATTTTACTACTCACAGAGGTGAAGCGAGACTCTTTGTTGTGGCGGATGCACTTGCACCTATAGGCAACAGAGCGATTCAATAAATAAAAATAAATAAAACTTCTCTTTTACCACTACCTTGCAAAACACATAAGTGGGCTCCTGCAGAGCAGCTCACCAAATAAAACTTTGTCACCCATGAGTCATTAATGAAACACAGCTTAGCTTGGACTTCTTCAGCTGCACTCAGCTAAACGGCAGGAGGAATTCATCAGAGATTGGTCTTGCGACAGGAAAAAGGAGCCAATTTTTTTAAGGTAAAGGAGCAAATCTGATGAGCTTGATGAGCAAATCTGGAAGGTTGTGCAGTCATTGTAGCCTCGGGGCCTGAGTAAAACACTAACAGGTGGTGGTTGCTGGTGGAAAAGACCCACGCAAAGACCAGAGGGAGTGAGAAGGATATTGGGCTCCCAGCCTGACATGCACAAACACACAGCCAAAGGCTCACATTTAAAAAAACACAGCCAAACTCATGCATGACACTTACAGCAATATGTAAAGTCGAGCTCTTAATTCAACAGATTTGCACACACATTCACGTGGACTCACACTCCTCCTTGCAAACATGTTGGGGATGATTCAGAATGGATCCGAAAGCACCTCGAGAAGGAAACTCTCCCACATGGCAAAACACAAAGGGCCCACGTCTGGCAACGTTAGCGGCTCGCTCAAGCCAAAACCAATTAAGACTCTAATGCAAACCTGCAGGGCCCCTTTAGTCGTTTATTTCCCCTTTTAATGTCAGAGGATTGGAATCTGAGTCGATTACCACCCCAAAGAATAGAGAAGAGGAGGCAAAGGGAAAAATGATCAGGGATTCCAAATGCTCCACGTGTTTTCAAGTAGAGCTAATTGAATCAAGAAGGAATGGAAATGATTGACTAGTGTTGCAATGTTGAGACTACGAGCCCTTTAACAAATTTTCTCCACGTGAGGAAAGAGCATTCACACTTCCCAGCAGGCCATTTAAGCTTTCTGCAACAATCAACTTCAAATAAATACAATTAAGAGAATAATAAATATATTTATTCTTTTGTTTTATTTGGAGTTGGAGTTAATTTGTGTAAAAACGGGAAACATGGCTTGCAAAGCGGTGCACACTCTGCTGCTCTCTGCTGGATGTTGGAGCTTCATCATCACCATAATCATCCCAACACCCCTGTAAGTATCACAGTCATGGATAAATAAAGTTATTATTGGTTAGGTGGTGATTATAAAGGATTCAGGTGGAGTTTTCTGACAAGTCAGGGAGGCTTCGTTCCAGCATCAGCCCTCGCTGACCCCACTGCCACTGTTTCAAATCTCGTTTAATCAAATTCAATTATCCAAGCTGTGGTTTTCACATGTGGACTCCATAAATCCAGTTTTTACACGCATTTTTTTCCTTCATCACAACTATACTTAGCAAACATTACTGTGGGATCCAGTCACACCACCATAAAGCCTCCAGGCCCCACTGACCCTACTTGTATGGTGGTACTGTACTATTGACCTCTGATGCAAAGCAGGCAAAGAGGAATAAAAAAATCCCCCTGGCATCAAGCTGCAGCTCCAGCCTGGTTTCACACTGCCTGGTGTTTTTGTCTTGAAAGGCTGTAAACTCCAGATGGTGGAACGAAAAAAAAAAAAAAACGTAGCCTGGTGGATTAAGGGCTTCAAATCCTCAGCTGAAAAGACACATAGACCACAAGCTGCTATTCAGTCAAATAAGAGCACAATAGCTGTCTTGTGGCGGCTATATCTGGGATAATGTGTCTAATAGAGTATGTGTTATGCATAGTTTATTCTCACAACTTAATGGATCTTAATGAGCGTAAGATCTTTGCAGACAAAAGGATGGCAGCAGTTTTGTTAGCTCATTATAATGATGTGATACATCTGAAGAAATCTTTTTGTTGCTTTGATAGCCCTCACTGTGGGAGAAATATTTAGAAATAATCACATTTTCTTCCAATGTTTTTATTAAAGTCTGTCTGGTCCATCTGTATTTCCATGAGCTAATCTCTCGGATGTGTTTGCTGGCTTCAGAAGACAACGGTTGTAAAGAACCGGTGTTAATCTGTGGCTAATATGGTGGAAATCCACGTCTTGTCAGGTGAAATAAAAAAAATTCAGATCACTTACTGGTAATGGTGGTCAGCATTCCGACCATGCTCGTGTTTACTGGTGGGATTTTCTTCTGGAGTTCTTCCTCCTCCCACTCGGTTCTCTTTGCAGGGCTTCCCAGCAATAAAACGCCACCCAAACATAAAATAACTTGTTAAGACACAATCTGCAGGGGGCAGTCAATCCAATTCACCACCGGGCATCAAGTCTCTCCTCAAACACAAAAGGTACTGTTTGAGCTGGTGGTACTCACCGATAACGCTGTTTTCCAGCGGGGCAGTAATGATTTACTCCAAAGGAAATGATGGGGCAGCAGCTCAGCCCTTTAATCCTCACATCAGACTGCCCAGAGCAAAGTGGTTCATGATCTGAACTTGTTGATGTATCGATTTTTTTGTTAAGTTGTAAACCTGAAATTCCTCCACAAATTGTCGAGGGGATGAAATGGATGGATTTTATATTGAAAGAGGAAACATCTCTGACCGTCTTGACGTTTTAAAGGTTTAACTATTGAATGATTTGGATTAAAACAGAAACGGCGTGTCATCTGTTGAGTGTGACGGTTAGCCAGAACCCCAAAGCCCACACAGTCGGGCTGGATCTGGACTCCATCCAGAGTCTCAAGTGTTTTTCGCCCTTACAAGCATAATATTTGGATGCTGGCAAAGAAGCTGCAACACACGTGCGCGCACACACACACACGCACAGAGCCATCTCTCCATCCTCCCCTCCTACAGCCACCCACATATGCCACATGCTCCTGTCCTGCCCCTCCTCCTTTCCCATTCTCATCCTCTCCCTCCTCCACCTCCCCGTCCTCCACTCCTGCCAGGCAGCCACCTGCTATCTGCAGCATGCCGCACAGCTGCTCTGCTACAATAACAAATTAAGGTCCACCGTGGCAGGCAGGATTCATTACCTAACACTCCTGTGACGGAAGAGTCGAGGAGCTATCAGCTGCCTCTGTGCTTCTCCTCTCTATGAGTCAAGCTGGAGGCCAAGAGGCACTGCTAATTGTTTAGGTGTGTAGAAGAGGATGAGGAGCAGCTAGTCCATGCTGTGTGCTGCTGATCTTGGTATATTATCTAAATATCAGATAAAATTTGTTTTTATTTTTTTTTATAATTTCTCGACTTTATCATGACAAACATGTAGAACGTTTATTCTTTTCTTTGTTTTTTACTCCATTTTGTGTTATGTCACTCAGCTAATTTTCACCTCTCACAAAAAAATGAGAACTGTGTCCTAATTTTGAAGCCCGTCTTATGAGGAGTATGTCGTAATTTAGAAATTCAGAAGATTTTTGTTGCATTGACTACATGTGATACAATTATTAAAAGCCCTCAAAAATAAAATAAAATCTTCTTTGCATTTTAACCACAAGATATGTGGATGTAGGATGTGTAGCGTCCAGAAATGGTCAGTTTTTCATCTATATATTTGACCATCATCGGCAAGAACAGGTCAAACTATCTGCTGGATTCTGCTATTCTATCAGCTGAAGTCCAGGCCTCTGCAGCTGTGCACACAGGATAACATATTGTCAACAAGCTGTTCCTGTTTCAAGGCCTTAAGTTTTCCTCTTATCACTTCTACAGGATTCTTCCTACCTCTGACTAAAAGTGAACATTTTCAGCTCATATGAGTTAATTAATCATACAGTGAATGGACAATGTGTTAAATGAAATGTTTTGAGTATTCTGTGCCTAAGTTAATAAGGTTGAAATGAATATTGTCCTTCAATAATCCATTTGTCTGATATTCAGTCTACGTGACAAGCTAATCAGCCATCCCCTCATACACATGTGCATATCTCCATGATGGAAAGTTAAAGTAATTGCATGCACATAGAGATTTCCTTATCTACAAATCAGAGCACCTTCTATATGAAAGAAGGCGTGATGTTCTGAGGGTTGTTTGATAACACCTCTTAACATGGCACATCCTGATTGGCCATGTAATCATAATATAAGTATTATTAAAACAGAACTCACTTCCTGCGTGAGTCAGTTCAAGCTCAGTTCGAGTTCTAGTACACCTTCGGAGTGGCCAATCCTAAAGGGAATTTGAACTATCAGCTTTCGACAAGCCGTAAAAGCTGCCTGCACTGACACAGAAACTTGCTCCTTCAGCTATTCAGAAACAGCTGTTCTAGACGCAAAAATTTTCCTCAATCGTTGTGACCCGGAGGCATCCCAGGACTGACTTGGTCACATCAAGGTTTTCCTACGAGCCACGTGGAGTGGGGTCACCGACTCCTTGTCATCTCGCATCCAAACGGGGGTCTCCAGAATACGGGTATGTAGGCACAGCATGAATTGTGTCTGATGCCATTTTGATAAATCAATTCTTCAGATTATAACAACCGCAAATTCTTACACCCAGATTTCATAATTCCTTTCAGATACAAAGGCTCTAGTAAACATCCCACACCATTCCATCATCATACATCACATTCCATTCACTTATAATCATCCATCACATAAACTTGTTTATAGCTTGTCATGCATATAATTAGTATAGAAAATAAAGTGTATTTTTAATTATACCCTTGACTCTGTCTGAATTAATACGAAGTGGACCATGATCACTGAAAAAGCAAAGAATCCTAATTCTTCTGATTAAACATCCAAAGATCAATCAGGTTGACATCCTATATTTATATAGAATATCACATCTTATTGGTCATAAGTAAAGGTAGTATATTAAGCTGAAAAGCAACATACAATTCCTCTACAGATGTAACAACCTAACTCAACAGTAACAAACATCGGCAACACACTACATTTTTTAAATAAAAAAATATCTTTCAATATCTATATTAGCTATAGCACTATAGGACATGAATGAAATAAAAGCAGAAACTGAATCACTACTTGTTCCTGTTTACATGCAAGCTAGCATTGGCATTGTAGATTAGCTAACACTACAGGGAAAAATAATAATAATTCCCTTTTAAACACTTAGGCTAGTGTTTAAAAACTATTTCATCATTTTAGTCATTTTGTTAGATGACAATTATAGAGTGTGATATTTGATGTTGTTGGCCCAAGGTGGCAATGTGTGACAACCTGCTAGCATTTGTATTAGCATTTAGCTAATATTTGGTACCTTTTCTGTATGATATTTTGAAGTATTTATAACTCCTCTCTAAACCAATGTCTCCTAGAAGAATACTGTACAAACTTGAGAAAATCAGGTTTGTCAAGAAAAATCCTTGCTGTAATGCCAAATACAGAAAACATGATTTATATCATTCTTGATTAAATATATGATGCTGGTATCATTGCAGTCATCATTCGTTATCTTGAATCAAATGCTGGGAATCGCTGCTTTAAAACTTTGCTAAACAACAGCATTTGAGTTTTTAAAAGGGGTTCAGTGTTTAAAGAAAAGCCAAACATGAAGGAAAAGAAGTGCTTTTATCAAATAGACAATCAGTTTGTGAAAATACAGGTGCTGGCCAGTAAATTAGAATATCATCAAAAGGTTGAAAATATTTCAGTAATTCCATTCAAAACGTGAAACTTGTACATTATATTCATGCAATGCACACAGACCAATGTATTTCCGATGTTTATTACGTTTAATTTTGATATTTATAGGTGACAACCAATGAAAACATCAAATCTGGTATCTCAGAAAATTAGAATATTCTAAAGGCCAATGAAAAAATGTTTGTTTCTCTAATGTTGGCCAACTGAAAAGAATGAACATGAAAAGAATGTGCATGTATAGCACTCAATACTTAGTCGGGGCTCCTTTTGCCTCAATAACTGCAGTAATGCGGCGTGGCATGGACTCGATCAGTCTGTGGCACTGCTCAGGTGTTATGAGAGCCCAGGTTGCTCTGATAGTCGTCTTCAGCTCCTCTGCATTGTTGGGTCTAGCGTATTGCATCCTCCGCTTCACAATACCCCATAGATTTTCTATGGGGTTAAGGTCAGGCGAGTTTGCTGGCCAATCAAGGACAGGGATACCATGGTCCTTGAACCAGGTGCTGGTGGTTTTGGCACTGTGTGCAGGTGCCAAGTCCTGTTGAAAGGTGAAGTCTGCATCCCCATAAAGTTGGTCAGCAGCAGGAAGCATGAAGTGCTCTAAAACTTCCTGGTAGACGGCTGCATTGACCCTGGACCTCAGGAAACAGAGTGGGCCAACACCGGCAGATGACATGGCACCCCACACCATCACTGACGGTGGAAACTTTACACTGGACCTCATGCAACGTGGATTCTGTGCTTCTCCGCTCTTCCTCCAGACTCTGGGTCCTTGATTTCCAAAGGAAATGCAGAACTTGCTTTCATCAGAAAACATAACTTTGGACCACTCAGCATCAGTCCAGTCCTTTTTGTCCTTGGCCCAGGCGAGACGCTTCTTGCGCTGTTTCATGTTCAAGAGTGGCTTGACACACGGAATGCGACACCTGAATCCCATGTCTTTCATGAGTCTCCTCGTGGTGGTTCTTGAAGCGCTGACTCCAGCTGCAGTCCACTCTTTGTGGATCTCCCCCACATTTTTGAATGGGTTTGTCGTCACAATTCTCTGCAGGGTGCGGTTATCCCTAGAGCTTGTACACTTTTTTCTACCACATTTTTTCCGTCCCTTCGCCTGTCTGTTAATGTGCTTGGACACAGAGCTCTGCGAACAGCCAGCTTCTTTAGCAATCACCTTTTGTGTCTTGCCCTCCTTGTGCAAGGTGTCAATGATTGTCTTTTGGACAGCTGTTAAGTCAGAAGTCTTCCCCATGATTGTGGTGCCTTCAAAACAAGACTGAGGGACCTTTTAAAGGCCTTTGCAGGTGTTTTGAGTAAATCAGCTGATTAGAGTGGCAGCAGGTGTCTTCTATATTCAGCCTTTTCAGAATATTCAAATTTTTTGAGATACCAAATTTGGAGTTTTCATTAGTTGTCACTTATGAATATCAAATTTAAATGTAATGAACATTGGAAATACATTGGTCTGTGTGCATTGCATGAATATAATGTACAAGTTTCACGTTTTGAATGGAATTACTGAAATATTTTCAACCTTTTGATGATATTCTAATTTACTGGCCAGCACCTGTAGGTTGCTGGTCATGACTACATATGAAAATTACAACAAAAAAAGTCCACCACTGACTCCAAATATCTTTAATGTTTTGCTTTAAAAGTAATTATTGCATTATTTCAGTTAGTTGCTTCTGTCATTCAGTGATGTGTTAAATAAAAATCTTTGATTGTGGCAACAATACCCTATCAAAATCATGCCAGTCCTGTGACAAGTTAACAAAGAAGTGACTAGTCAGTTAGCAGGAGGCTGAAGTCAACGAAGGAACCGGCTCAGACGACGGTGGGATTTTCAACAGCCCTTAAGGCCCTTCTGTTTGACAGCTGGCGATTGTCCCCCCTTGTTGCCTTCCAGCGTCTTTGTCACTCTCTTCAAGCACACCAACAGGGCTGTTACACAGCAAATAAGCTGACCTGACCTGCAGGCTGATTGAATGACCGTCCAAACCTTTAATCCACTAAGGTGCAGCAAAGGCTCCTTTTTGACATATAACCCCTTTTCATTGACTTATTAGCTTTAACTCCTGACTGCATCACCATCTCAGTCATTTTACCTTCTAACACATCTTAATTTTGATTATTAATCACAAAGCTATTTTTACCATTTGATATCCCACAGGTCTTGGATTTTCCATTTTACTGGATTTTCAGTAAAAAGTCAATAAACTTGACCAGTTTTAGAGTGACTGGAATAAACCGAATTTATGTCCTTTCAGAGTCAGAGGACTCCAAAGCAATTTACCTTACAGTGAATCATTCTTCCATGCACACACACACATTTATGTTTATTTATTTAGCAGACGCTTTTATACAAAGCGACTTACAATTTATAATCCTATAGGGCATGTTGTGATCTGTGGTGGAAACCAGAGTCCCCGGAGGAAACCCACGCATGCATGGGGAGAACACGCAACTCCACGCAGAAAGACCACAGCCGAGTTTCGAACCTGGAACCTCCATGCTACGAGGCAACAGTGCTAACCACTGCACCACCATGCAGCCCATTTACACACTGGTGATGATGAGCTACACTGTAGCCCCACACGCCAATCACTGATGCCACTGGTCCCCACGACCACCACCAGCAGGCAAGGTGGGAAAAGTGTCTTGCTTAAAGGCACAACAGCAGCAACTTCTGCAACTCTCTGAATACTGAACAACCCGCTCTTCCTCGTGAGCTATACTGATGCCCACATGCCACATTATTGAAAATGTTCAACAAACAAACGATTCAAAGCTTTAAAGAGATTAAACAGAACCAGAATGGTATTTGGTCAATTGAATATGTTTGTTGTGATTTAAACTTTATGTATGTTTTCTTATCCAAAAGAAGCTTTCACCATTTGACTAGACTCCCAAACGGATCCTTAACAGTTATCATTGAGCCATCTAAGTTATTTGAACTCTGTCTGAATAATGAGTCCATTTAGTTACCACGTGTAACCCTGTCCACTTCCTCTCTACCCTGCTCGGTGGTTGACCTGACCGATTCTACGTCCCCAATGAGAGAAGGTTTTCACCAATTGTTTGTTCTTTCTGGTCAGGATACCTCCTGGATGCCTCCCTGGTGAGGTTTTCTGGGCACGTCCAACCGGGAGGAGACCTAAAGGTAGACCCAGGACACGGTGGAGGGACTCTGTCTCTCACCTGGTCAGGGAATGCCTTGGGATTCCCCCGGAGGAGCTGGCCCAAGTGGCTAGGGAGAGGGAAGGCCTCTCGCATTAGGCTGCTGCCCCCGCGACCCGACTCCGGATAAGCGGATGAAAATGGATGGATGCATGGATGTTTGTTCTTTCGGTGCACTGTACAAAGTCAAGAAAGGGCAAGTCATTAGCTGGAACTGTTTACCCTACTTTCCCAGCAGTCGTGCCATCTGCGTGTGCTCCATAGGTTGCATAAGGCCTGGCAGATCTGACACCTCCACAAAACCTGTTCCCTTTCAGCCATTGTTTCACTCTTTCCAATATTAGCTCTTTCTTCCGTGTGCTTATACCTCTACCCCTTCTGTCGTTTCTGCACAATCTTTTCTATTCAATGATTGTTTTATTTCCCCCCTTTTTCTTATTTCTCTATTTTCCCCATCACACTGCTCTAACCTTCTCTCTCTCTGGTCCTGTCTTCTCCTCCAGCCATCCCCAACAGCTGACAGAGCAGACCCTGCCTGGTGGTGACACTTCACCCACACAGACACACGCCGACCTGAGCCAGATCACCCGTCCATGTGGGAGCCAGAGCAAGGGCCAAGGCCAGGGTGGAGTGTGTGTGCCTGTGTGTGTGTGTGTGTGTGTGTGTGTGTGTGTGTGTGTGTGTGTGTGTGTGTGTGTGTGTGTGTGTGTGTGTGTGTGTGTGTGTGTGTGTGTGTGTGTGTGAGGGGGGTTGTCTCATACTGAGGCCGGCAAGATGGCCCTACTCATCATAATCATTCATTGCCTGCTGTTCTTTCTGTCCCTGTACCCCTCCCTCTCCTCACAATTCTTTTTGTGTGTCCTCCTCATGTCAGGGCCACAAGGCACGCGTATCAGCTGAGCACAGGATGGTCGGAGTCAACAGGGTCAGGTGGCAGACGCCTGGTTAATTCTCCTGAGGCTGCAGACCGCTCACGTCAGCTCGTGCAAACGGACACTGAAATGCACAGATAAAGACGATCCCTCGTGCAACCGCGTCCGCACATGTGCTCTGGTTTTCCTTGCACGGCGCTGCACGTCGGGCAAGATATTATTAGAGAGGGCTTAATTGTTGGAGGGGGGTTGCTGATGGGGTTATGTCAGGCAGATAGATCGGCATAAAGAAGGAGGAGGGGGAGATTATAAAGACATGAGCAGATGGAGAGAGAGATAGACCTATTATGTAGATCCTCCTAACCCTCGT